CGAAGGGCCCTGGCACTGGGGCATAGTTTGGAAGTCCGGAAAGCTGAGAGGGAAAAGGGGAGGTGCAACTAGGCACTCTTGATGAGGGTCTTGCAGGGTGAGATGGCCTCGGAACTGATGGAGGAGAGACTGCCACTGAGGCAGAGTTTTGATGACTGGAAGTCTGGAACAGAGTGGGAGGGCACTGAGAAGCAATTTTGTTGGAGGGCCTCCCGGCCATTTATTCTAGGCTGTACCTGGTATTGGGTGGTTCTTCCAAAGAAGCAGAACCCAAAGTTTGTGGGCTTTGTCTTAAGATGCTGTGAAACCTCATTTCTTTAGGAAGAAAAATACTTTCACCTTTCTTCCACCTCACTCTCCCTCCTTTTGAAAAGTTGGCTCTCTTGGGTCCATTTTATGTTTTCAAGCCAGTGACTTTTGTTTGTTTGTGTTTGACTTGCTCAGGGTTGCCCAGCTAATAAGTGTCAAATGTCTGAGGTCGGATTTGAACTCAAGTCCTCCTGACTCCAAGACTGGAGCTCTATCCGCTGTACCACCCCACTGCCCCCAAGCCAGTAACTTTTGGAAGAGACAGAACCTTGTGACCATTAACCATTAACCCGACCTGGGTTTGAGCCTGGCCCTGGGCAGATGGACCTTTGTGGCCTGGGCAAGTCCCTGCCTGCCCTGAGGAAGCCTTAGCCCTGACGTGGGGATTGTGAGAGCTTCTCGCAGATCTGGTGCTGCTGCTGTGCTGTGTGTGAGGGATTCTCAGCTCTGGGAGGGGCGTCTGGCTAGGGCAGGGGCAGTGGGGGCCATTTAGTTTTTGTATTTGAGGTTCTGGGTCACCACCATAAGTGCTGATTGGATAGAAATCTGCTCAGGAAAGGGCCCTGCTTGTGAAATGATAATCTGTGAAAAGAGTTGAAACCAGCACCTGGCACATAGTAGGTGCTTCTTCCCTTCCCCTCCCCCTCCATTCAAAACATCCCTCTTTTTTCACGGGGCACTGCCGTCTTTTTAGTCTCTCTGGCTTTCCGACCTTTGTGGGAATTTCCACCCAGATTGGATTCTTCATCCCTCTCTGTCCAGTCTGTGCTGTGGCCTTCCAGGCCATCATTTCAGGTCTTTGTCAGGGCTTGCCTGGACTCTCGAGGTACCCTTTTTATCCCCATGTCCTGGGTAGACCTTTGTGAGCCTGGGGAAGGGGAGGCAGGTTGGAAAGGATAAGCAAGGTAGGGATTATTTCATTCTCTGTACTTTTATACCAGGTGCCTAGCAGATAGTAGTGCTTAATGATGGCTTGTTGATTGATTGATAAGAAGCTTATTGGATTTGGTTAAACTGGTGTTTTGTGACCTCATGATGAGCAGCTTCATCATAGTTCAGTTGAGCAGCCCTCACCCCTTGCCAGCTTCCTTTTCTGCTTTGTCTCTCCCTTTGGAGTGTAAACTCCTTGAGGTTAGCAGGGCGGCTGGCAGGCACGCAGGCATGCAGTAGGTGCTTAAGCGGTGCTTTGCTGGTCAGTCTGTCATCTGAGCATTTGTGGGGCTGCTGTCCTCTAGGAAGATTGTATATGCGTTTAGAATATGCTGCAGAGTATAATGGGTGGTCTGGGCCAAGCCTCATTTCTGCCAGATGGCTTCCCAGTTTTCTCAGAGTTGTTGGTTTTTCCGTGCTGGGTTACTGAATTGTTTCCTTCTCCCTTGTCTATTCTGCTCCACTGATCTACCTCTTTATTTCTTAACCAGAACCATGTGGTTTTGATGACTGCCATTTTATAACCTAGTCTGAGGTCTGTAAGGGCTATTCCCTTTCTGTCCCTGCCTCTTTTCATCATTTCAAGTGATCTTTTTGAGCTTGTGTTATTTTTTTAAATAAGTTTTTTATTTTACCAAGTTCTACTAAGTATCCCCTTGGTCTTTGGATTGGTATAGCATTAAAAGTGTAAATTAATTGTGGTCACATTGTAATTTTTATTATATGACACTCCCGCCCTAGTGTGAGCACTGAGCATTCTTTCAACTCCTTGTTACATTTTATTTCTTGAAGGAACACTCTGTAATTGAATCTAAACAGGTTTTTTGGTGTGCTTTTGTAGGTTGAACCCCAAATGTTTTATGCGTTTTGTAGTTATTGGCTGGAATTTCCCTTTCTATTATTGCCTCTTAGATTCTGTTGATGTAGAAATGTATTTGATTTTTGAGGGCTTATTTTGTAGCCGTGACTTTGCTGAAGGTATGAATTGTCTCAATATTGTTGCTGATTCCCTAGGATTTTCTAAGCGAATTGTCATGTCATCAGTAAACAGAGATAGCTTTGTCTCTTCATTACCCATCTTTGTGCCTTTATTTTTTTTTCTTACTTCTGTTGCTGCCAGAAACTTTTTAAGTAATAATGGGGAGAGCTGGCATGCATCCTTACACTGATATTTGTTGGGAAAGCGTCTATCCCCATTGCATAGATGATTGCTTTCGCTTTTAGATATTTTTAATGATATTTTAAAAAATGTACCTGTGTGACTATACTTGAGGGTTTTTAGCATAAATCAGTGATGTATTTTGTCAAAGGCTTTTTCTGCATCTACTGAGATATAATCATGTATCAAGACACATAGATATTGCAAACAAATGCAAAAAAGTTGGAAATAATAAATATGCCCTTTACAGACCATAATGCAATAAAAATAATAAATCAGTTCAGGGAGCATAAACAAAAGACACAGACCCAAATGGAAAGTTAATGAAATCTTAAAATAATGAGTGGGACCAAGAACAATGAGAGAAACAATAACAGCATGAAAGAAAATGGCGATAAAACACCCCAAAATTTCTGGGATGTGCCTCAAGCAATCCTTGGGGGCAAACATAATTTAAAAAAAATCAGTTTTATTTCATTCTTGGACCCACTTTTTTTCCTCTCTTCTCCCCCTCTGCTGAAAACAAGAATAATAAAATAAAAAACAAAACCTCTATACGAATATGTATAGTCCATCAAAATGCATTTCCTCACTGGCTGTGTCCAGAACAGGGCTTCCTCTGTTTCTAGAGGAGGGCAGCAGGTTCTATCATGAGTCCTCTGGATTTGTGATAGGCCATTGTGCTGGGCAGAGTTCCTAAGTCTTTTACAATTGTGTGTCTTTCTATAAACATCCTCAGACAAAATAGAAAAGGACAAGATTAATAAACTGAATATTCACTTCAAAAGTCAGAATGCCAAAAAAATAAAATGACTTTAAGCACAAAAGAAGGGATGTTACAAATTAGAGGAGAAATGGGTAAATGAAATGAAAAAAGCTATAGAAATCATAAATAAAATGAAAAGCTGGTTCTTTAAAAAGCTAATGAGATTGACAGACCTATAGCCAATGTGATTAAAAAGAAGAGAACCAAGAACCATTCTACAAGGTGAAATCACTTGGCCACGGCAAAAGAAAGAAGAGAGCTCTTAGCATGTCTCTGCCCAGTTCTGCTGGCCTGCCCAAACTGAGGCAGTACTTGAGTGTAGCTCTCAGCTTCCCTTACTGTCCCAAGAAATAAATTGAGGGAAGTCACACTCGCAAGACTCGGAAATCAGCACAAAGCACTTGTTTCAGAAACTACTCATCCAGAACCCTTAGTAATAGCAGGCTGTCTTTGTTTCATAGGTCGCTAGCAGGGCTGGTTTACTCTTGCTAAGTATATGGAAGGGGCAGACTTGTCCAAAGAAGGTGCTGACGCCATCCTTCCAGGCGTCCAACGCTCACGCCTGGCATCTCTCCCCTCAGAAGGACCTAGTGGCTTTGGGCCAGGCACTGAATGTCTATTCATCTCCCCCCCAGGGCTGGGCTCCATATTAATTCATCACTAATGTGCTTTGAAGATGAAAAGCTTTTTACGTGAAGATGCTTTTATTGAAGACACAGCTAATGAGGCTCTGTATATTTGGGGTTCATGTATTCCTGCTGAGGTGGTAATTGTGCCCCTCACCCTGTGGGGTTTGGTGTGTTCTCGATGTTTACAATTCTTTTGGAAAGTTGGAGGGGGCAATAATCTAACGGGGAGGGGGTGGAGCATGGCTAGGCAGACGGGGTCGTCTGGAGGGGACGGCTGCTTCAGCAAGAACTGGTCGAAGGTATTCTGGCAGCTGCCACGTCTGGTTCTGGAATTGAGATTTTGGTTTACGCTTCCCGGGTCTGGAAGTGCAATGTGTTGTACTAGATTCCCACTCTACCCACTCCTTTCGTGTCTTGTCCATAGATCTGCGGGAGTGGGATAGGAGGTATCATGGTTGCTCAGTCTCATTGCATTGATAAGTGGGTTTGCCCTCATCCCCTCCACGTTGGGTGTTTGGCATGTATTAACAGGGCTGTGGATTGGGCCTTCGGAGTACCCCCCCAACCTGCCTTGGTGGCTGTCTGTCCATGTCACATCCATCGTGTTTGAACTGCATTGGAAGAAGAGGAAGAAGAGGGTTGGGGATGGGACCCATTTCTGTAGCTCTTTAGTGTTTGCAAAGTGCCTTTGGGAGGCAGGGCTATTATGATCCCATTTTATAGATGAGGAGGCTGAAGTGCTGTGCCCAGGGTAACGTGGTGAGGAAGTGTTTGAAGCTGCACTTGAATTCAGGTCTTTTTGACTCCAGGCCCAATACCTGACCTGACATTCTTCTCCTGCCTTCTTGCACTCACAGAAACTGTCCCTGTCCGGAACAGTTGATCTCAGGTTCCTTCTGCTTCCTGTTTACTTACCCTCTCCCTTCAAAGCTCAGCCCCTGTGCCCCTTCCCCAGGCTGTTTGCTCCTACTTCCTTCCCTCTGGACTCTTCTGGGGCCTCGAGGATGAGGATGGAGCGTGTTTGCCTTTTGCCCTGCATTCTTGTTCCACTTGAGATTTGTGAACTGTTGGAGACTGAGACAAAGTGGCTGTTGGTCCATCAGAGCTGGCCGCAGGGAGAGGAAGGATACTGGGCTTTCTGTCCTGTGTTTGCATGGGGAATGTGGTAACTGAGGAAATAGCCTTCGCTTCCATGGTTTTCTTTCAGAACATTGACGCTGATGGCAGCTTGAGTGACAGTCACATCTCCCCGCCAGCCAAGCGCACTCTGAAGCTCGCTGATGCTCTCTGCAAGGATAAATCTAAGCCGCGAAGTCCTGGCCAGCGGGAGGAATGGAGCCTCGCACCTGGCCAGTCCAGGTGAGCAGAGAGGCGCTGGTGTCTTCCAAGCCCCTCGCTGGTGGTAGAGATCGGACGCTCGTCCCCTCCTTGGTCAGACCCACGTGGCACTGAAAGGTGCTGATGAGTAGCGGGACATTTTTAAAAACTCTCCTGGTTTTCTTGCCCAGAAGGGAGCCTAGACACAAAGAGTGGGCTCGGTCATTTCTTTCAGGATAGGCCTGAAATGCAGAAGGTCTTCAATGCCCTGAGATGCTGAATTGCTCAGATGAGCCAGTCTGCATGTATCACCCCAATTATTTTATCATGTGACCAGATGGTACAAGGCCCTTAGAATTGTGGGATGTCCATATCATCTCATGTATACCTGGTGCAGTTTTATGGGAGAAGGGGCTGCCATCTAGATTGGCTCTCAGCTCTTGCCTGGTTCCCTCAGCCTCCACATGGGGGTTTGGGTGTTCTTAATGCTGGCCCCTGGAAGGGGGGTTGCAGGGAAGCCACTTGTTCCATGGAATCTTTTGGCTGTTCCCCACAGTTTTTGGGTTGCAGAAATAGGAAAGACTTGGCCTATGAGGAGAAGAGTGGGAGAGACCTTTTATATAGCCTTTCAGTAGCCTGAAAATCATCCCCCCCAATTCAGTGACAACAGTTGTATGCCCAGAAATCAAGTCTGGGTCCTGTGATGTTTTTGTGATGAAACTTGAGGCTGAAAAAATCCAGCAAATGTTCAGCTTCTTCCTGAGTGGGATGATGTCACTTTTCATGGGGTTCATGAAAGGGATGAATTAAAGATGCTGCCTGAGTCATCCTTATTAATCCAGGGAAAGAGGCTTCCTCTTGGAAGCAGCCCCCCAAATCGAGTCGCTGCCCAGGGTGCTAAGGTCGCTCTCTCTTTGGCATGCTCCTTCGTTAAGTGAAGAAAGTAGCAAAGGAGGTCAGGAGGGCCTCTGCCAGAGGCCCTGGCGGGACCCCTCCGCTGGCTGTCTTGCCAGGCGGCCGAGCTGGGCCGCTGTCTTTTCTTCCCCTTTGGAGATCCATGTCTGAGAATCTGTGGACGGGGAGAAGGCCCCTCTAATTGTGGCCTGTGAGTGGCCGCCTTGGTTATTTGATGTCTGCTGGGGCTTAATGAAGCAGGTGAGTCAGAGCTGGAAGGAAGAACCCCTGGGCGTCCCCAGCCTTGTCTGGAAGCCGGCCGGGGCAGCCAGAGGCTTGGGGCATGGTCTCCTTTGGACTCATCCTGTCACCTGCTTGCTTTTTGCCCACATCCGCCTCCTCAGAAAGCTCCTGTTCACCCTCCTTCTCTTTGTGTCTTCTGAAGCATTTGTGGCCCCTCCTTCTGGGGATCCCTTTGAATTAATTCTGCTCTTCCAGAATCCAGGGCACATATCAGACTGTTCCTGACTTTGCTCCCCTGGTCACAGGCTCCACTCCTTTGGTGAGACTGATCCCTCACCATCTAGTCACTGGGCAAATAAAAGCAAATGAAACTACTGTCCCCCAAACAGACAGATAGACAGACAGACAGCACACTGAATTACTAACTCTGTGGGGGTCCTTTCCTGTCTATTGATCAGAGCACATGGACAAGCCTTTCCTACAGGCAAGAATTCAAGCTCTGAGCAGCCTGCTCTCAGATAATCAATAATCCCAAGTCCTGAAACTTCAGCCCTCTTTTTAACTGTTAGGTGAGATGAAAAGTGTTGTCACAACTATTTCTGTCTGTGTTTCAGCCCATTAGAGCCCCTGTGGTCTGAGAAATGTCTGTTTTTCCTGGCCCTGGCTTGCATCCAGAGGAGCCAGGCTGGGGCGGGGGGGGGGTCACTTGAGCATTGTTGGGCCTGTTAGGTGAGGGCGACATGGAGGTCTCAGTAGGTACCCGCCAGACCCCTTCTGGAGGGTCTCAGGAGTGCTGGGCTCTCCAGCCTCCAAACTGCTTCAGCTACACAATTGGGCAGTTCCTAGAGCTGGTGTGAACTCGGGCCCTCTTGACCTCAGGACTGGTGCTCAGTCTGCTGTAGGGCCTTCCCCCCCCTTCCCCCCCGGCCTGCTGAGGTCCATCTGACCCCACCTCTTTGGGGCTTCCTAGTTGTGTTACAGCTGACCCAGAGCAAGCCATTCATCTCTTTTCAGACAGTCAGTCAGTCAGTGTTTATTAAGCACCTACTGTGTGCCAGGCACAGTGCTAAGCTCTGGGGATCCAGAAAGGGGCAAAAGATAATCCCTGTCCTCAAGGAGCTCCCACACTAATGGGGGAGAGAGCATGCAAGCAATATATCAGTCTGTGTATCCATTCATCCATCCCATCCATCCATCCATCCATCCATCTATCCACCCACCCATCCATCCATCCATCCATCCATCTATCTATCCATCCCTGTATCCATCCATCTGCCTGTTTATCTGTCCATCCATCCACCTGTCTCTCCATCCATCCATCCATCCATCCATCCATCCATCCATCCATATCCATCCATCCATCCATCCATCTATTGGTTTACTCTTACATTAGAAAATTACACTGAGATATAATGGTCCAAGCATGATGAATTTTTTAGTTAGACCAACAGTAACCAATCAGTTGGGTCTCTGGCCTCTTGATAACCAAAGACAAGTGGGCTTCTTAGCCTTCCTAGCGCTTTGGGGAAGTACAGCAGAACCAGGAACAGACAGGGAAGACAACGCCATTGGTCACAGGGCTGGCAGCATCCTGGGGGGTGGGGACCACATGATTGGTCACATCAGGGAAGAGGGGCGGGCTGGTAACCACCCACTCTGTCCCTCAGGAATGCTTGATTGGTTTATGGGAGCCACCTGAACCTTGTAGGCTTGGCTAGGGGATCAGAATGAGCAGGCTTGTTGTCTCCTTGGAAGAGAAATGCCCATGGCTGCACAGACACAGGCAGGGACAGGTGACGTATCTTTTGGGGAGGGTAATTGTGAAGCTTAAACAGATATGTAAGAAGTAACTTTAAGTTAACTCAGAGGAAAAGCTCAATTCCTGAGTTCAACTCAAGGACATAGGCAGTTTTGGGCAGATGCAGACTCAAATGATAAAACCAGTTCAGCATAAGGTATACAGATGATAGGAATTTTGGTATTTTCAGTATGCAGGAAATGACATGGGACAAGTAGGACCTGACCAGCAGGGGGAAGGCTCTGCAGTGAAGAGAGCGGTAAGGGGCATGGGGAGGCTTTTTGTAGAAGGGGGGATTTTAGTGGGTACTTGAAAGAAGCCAGGGAGGTCAGTGGTCAGACCAGAAGAGGGAGAATAGTCCAGGCATGAAGGGCAGCCAGAGAAAATGCTGAGAGATGGAGGGTCTTGTTTGTGGGGCAGCCAGGAAGCTGGAGTCACTGGAGAAGAAGGTCAGAAAGGTGAGAGGGGGCCAGACTAAAGGACTTTGAAGCAAAGGATTTTTTTTTTTAATTCTGGAGGCAATAGTCTGTTTATTGAGTAAAGGGGGACATGATTAAATATGCACTTTAGGAAAATCACTTTCTGGATGAATGGAGAACTAGAGTTGGGGGAGACTTGGGGCAGGCAGGATTCCGCCCCCCCCCCCCCCCCCCCCGGTTAATGCAGTAGTCCAAGTGTGAAGTGACGAGGGTCTGCACCAGGGTGGGGGCTGTGTCAGGAGAGAAGGGAGCGTAATGGAGAGATTCTGCAGAGGTGAAATTGAGAGGCTGTGGCACCATATTGTATAGTGGGAGGGGGTGTGTGTATAAGAGATGGTGAGGAGCCCAGGATGACTTCTAGGTTGGGAGCCTAAGGGACTGGGAGGAAGGCGGTGACCTCTACAGTAATAGGGAAGGTAGGCGAGGGAAGGGCTTAGGGAAAAGATCACGAGCTCTCTTTTCAACAGGTGAGTTTAAGAGGTCTACCGTATGTCTAGTTGGAGATGTCTGAAAGCAGTTGGAGATGAGCCATTGGAGGTCATCAGAGAGACTGGGGCAGGCTTGGGAGATCTGAGAACCATGGGCACAGAGAGGGTCATTAAATCCTTGGGAGTGGTGAGATCCCCAGGTGACATAGCATAGGGGAGAAGAGGGCCAGGACAGCGTCCTGAGGGACACCTCTGGTTAGAGGATCCAGCCAAGGAGACCGAAGAGGTGCCATCGGGGACGAGGTGTCCTGAAAACCTATAGATAAAAGAGGATCTGGGAGGAGAGACTGACCAGCAGACTCAGCGGCTGCACAGAGGCCAAGGAGCGTGAGGACTGATTAGATGGATGGAAAAGGAAAAGCCCAGCTGCAAAGTGATTTTGAAGCAGTTGATGACAATTGTTTTAGTCCAGAAAGCCCCTCAGAATATAACAGGAGCCCATGTGACTGCTGAATTGGGACCTGCCTTCCAGTCTTCTCTCTCAGGGTACATTGTTGTCCTTGACCGTGGACTTGTGTTTTGGAGCCCTGTCAGGTGGCCTTCTTGTTTGGGCTAAGCTGGCTGTTCCCCATTTGGGTTCAGAGTCGTGGATGTGATCTCATGAGTTGGCTTTTCCTGGGGGGCTAGCATTTCCTGCCTCCCTTTTCTGTGCCGGGCGCCTCGTCCTCTGGCAGAGTAGGTGAACCTTTTCCTATGGGGTGGCTTGGTAGGACTGCAGTCTCAGAACTGGACATGGGGAAGCAGTGGGCAGGAGCCGGAAGAGCCTTTTCTGGTTCCTGTTCCCAGGACTCCCTGGGCTGATGCACCTTGGCTCCAGCAGTCCCAGGCACCCCGCTGCATTTCCTCTTCTTCTGGACACTGGGCCTGTTTCATGATGACCATGAGATCTTCTACTAATGGTTCTTAGGAGTCTAGGCCCAGTTCTCTGCCGATGCTGGCAGCTCATCGGTCCCTGTGCCCTGCCACCCTTCCCCTGTTTCCCCAGTCCCGTGACAGTAGGAACGAACCCAGAGCTTCAGCAGAGCGCCATGCCGGATGACAAGAGCTGTGGCACTGGGCTCTCAGCCTCTTAAAGAAAGAAGGGTTTTCCGGATGGCCAGAATCTTTGTCCACAGGCTTTTGGCCAGTTTTGTTCGTCATCTGAATTAGAAAAGTCACCTGTAAGAATGCCAGAGTTGAGGGGGCGTTTTCACTGGGGTGCTAACTGAATAAGCCCCCCACTTTTCTGTCCCGTTACTCACTGCTGAAGGGAAATCTTGGAAGAGTAGAGGGTCGCCCCAGTTGGCTGCTGGGCACGCCACTTTTCTTCGAGTGAGCATCCTCATTAGCTCATGAGAATGAAACGTTTCATGATAAATGTTTAGTTGATGATTGTTCCCTAGTGTTGCATATCTTGCTGCTTTAAATGAATGTGGATGTGTTTGCACATTAAATCTAATTGTGTTCTAGGTTAACTTCTCAGCCTGGTGCTACGTTACCAAACGGACATAGTAGCTTGTGTGAGTATTCTGTGGGTGGTTTGGAACTGGCTTGTCCTGACCTTCTCCTGGTGACTCGGTAACCATTGAAGTGGGGACCAGAGGCGAGTGGGCCATTCCTGCAGCTGGCTAGATGGGGATGGCTGGATCATAGATGAGGGTGCATTGTTGAAATATCAGCTCAGGCAGCTCAGTGTGATTGGCCTTAAATTGAGTCCCTGCCGTTTCATTCAGTCATTTCTCCTTTTTTTGTGGGGACCCTCAAAACGTTCTTCTTTTCAAGTGAAGTCTCTGTCTCCTCCTAGCTCTTCGAAGCCACCCCCTCCGAGGGGAAAAGAAGGGAGATGGGGACCGCCCGTGTATGAATGGGGATATGGAAGTCAGGAAAAGCTGTCGATCCAGGAAAAACAGATTCGAAAGTGTGAATCAGAGCTTGCTGTTTGATCAGCTTGTCAACAGGTATGAAGGAGCCCCCCTGGCTCTTTGGGAGCATACCCCGGTTTCCCAAATCAGAGGTTTGGAGGCCCTTTAGGGAGAAGCTGACCTGACCATATTCCATACAAGTCGAGTGGCTGACTTTCTGGCCCTTCTCACCAAATGCTGCGGATGGGGTTCCATCGCTGCCCCAGAAAGCGCATTTGCTCCCCTTGGACGAAAGCAGCCTCTCGTGGCATGCGGGGTAGACGTGGTTCATTTTGTCCCGATGGTCACCTCGGGGAGCCCCTGTCCCTGCCGCCAGGGCCTCATCTTTTGTAAAGACACAGGCCCCAGGCAGCAACTTGGAGCGTGAGGCCCTGGGCCCTGTGTCCCTCCGGCCCAGCTTGAGCGATCTCAAGGGAACGATGCGGGCTGTGCAGTGGGCTCTCCTGACCCTGATCTGGGGCCTCTGTGTCTGTGTCCCTAAAGCACCGCGGAGGCCGTCCTGCAGGAAATGGACAACATCAACATCCGGAGGAACAGGCGCTCTGGCGAGGTGGAGAGGCTTCGGATGTGGACTGACACAGAGTTTGTACGTGCGCTGTGGCGCCTCACGGCCTTGTGAGGACCGGGCCTGGCGCCCCTCCCTCTGCCCTTGGGGTGGGGGTGGGGTGTGGTGGCTGGGCCCACATCTGACAGAGGGTGTGGAGAGGCATGGAGAGGCACAGCCCTGCTGCCTGCTTTCATGTCCTCAGGCTGTCCCCTCCATCAGTGGAGGAGAACGAACCCTTTCCCCAAGGTCACAGAAAGTGTCTGAGGCAGGCTCTGAACCCGTACTGCCTCTCAGATCTGGGGAAGGAAGCCACCTGGGTGGCTGTGACCTGTGGGTGAAAGATGTACCTTCTAGGCACTAATGGGTTAATTAATTTGTCCTTTTATATCTGTGTTGGTTTAGTAACTTATTTTTCAATTAAAGGAAAACATGGACATGTATTCAAGAGTGAAGAGGCGAAGGAAGTCCCTGAGAAGAAACAGTTATGGCATCCAGAACCACCATGAGGTGTCCACTGAGGGTGAAGAAGAAGGTTGGTCGGGCCCCGAAGCTGGGCAGGGGGAGGTGCAGTGCCACGGGCTCTGCTTTCCCTGCCTGCTGGCAGGGGGAGTGGGGTGCCCTCGTCTTGGACGCTTCCTGGCAGGATCCTTTAAGGCTGGACTCTTCCTCTGTCTGTGGGCCAGGTTTGGGCAGTGCCTCACATTCTCTGGCTCACGTCAATCTCAGATCTGTCTCCGGGAGGCTCGGGGGCTCTGCAGAGGCCTCTCTCTGGGAGGGGCTGGTGTCCTGGCCCCGGCCCTGCAGGACAGCTGGCCCTCATGGGTTTGGTGCTGGCTCCGAGAGCTGCCGAGGACCTGTTCCTGCAGGGGCTTTTGGGTTGGCAACCCTGACAGGGGTGAGGTGGCTCTGGGTCGTGATCCTGAGAGGGAGACCTTCTCAGGTCTCCGAGTTCTATCTGGCCTGTGCTGCTGTATACTCTGTGCAGTTGTATGTGGCTGCCTCAGGCCCCCGGAACTCTCTTGGGGTGGGGGTGGGGTCCTTCAGTCCCAGGGGGGCGCTTCCTCTGGAGGAAGGCTGTTTCAGAGCTGCAACAAGTGTTTGAGTGGCCCAGCCTTCAAGGATGGGAACAGGTTTTGGCAGTGGAGCCTTGTTTTACATTGAAAAATAAAAACGCTGCCCTCCCTCTGCTCCACTGGGCACCCTATTTCCGAAGGAGCTTGCCTTGTTGGTGCCAGGCCTTGTGAAGCCTGTATTTTAGAGAGACTTGTCATTATTGTAAGGGAGGAGAGCTGGGCCTGGAGTGAGAAAGCTCTGAGTGCAGATGTTGCCCCAGACATGCAGAACTGGGTGACCCCTGCTGTAAAACGGGGCTGTGGGTTGTGCCTCCCTCTTGGGGCTCTGGTGAGGGTTACCCATTGAGGTCCCACATGTAAAGCACTCACTAAGGGCAGGCCAAGCCCCTGGGGAAGAAGGTGTCAGTCGTCACACTGGGTGTCACCCCAGGTGTCCACGTGTGTTTGGCTGGCCTGGGGAGGCTGTCGCTCCTGGGGGTGGTGTGTCTGTCTCCTGTACCCCTCTGTCCGAAGGCCTCCTGCTGGGCTAGCGGGTGAGAGCTCGTCTCCTGTGTTTAGAGTCTCAAGAGGAGGATGGCGACATTGAAGTGGAGGAGGCCGAAGGCGAGGAGAATGATCGCCCCTATAACCTGAGGCAGAGGAAGACCGTGGAGAGATACCAGGCCCCACCCATAGGTGAGGGCTTCCTCGGCAGGGCATCATACTTGGTTCCCAGGTGGATGGGGGTGGGGGTCGTGCCCAGGGGCCTCCTTAGTGAGGAGGGGAGGGGAGGCTGTGAGGCTCCCTGGGGTCAGGATACCAAGGGGCCCCCGATGCTGATGGGTCCTGGCAGTGGCTGATGGCCATCCTGGGGTAGAGGGAGCAGAGAAAGGCAGTGGATGGGCCCTGCCCTCGTGAGCCCATGGTCTGCCAGGGGGTTGCCCGCAGCCCTGTTGGCCATCCTGGGCTGTGCAAAATGCCCTCTTGTTCAGTAGTTGCATGCTGGGCTGACATGCCTCTGCTTCAGCCCTGGCATTGTGAGTGGCAGGAGCTCCTCTCTCCTGCTCTCCCTGAGCAGCAGTTTTGAATCCTCGCTGATCATTTCTGCTGCATTTTCTCCAGTCTGGTGATGACTCTCCTTGAAAGTGCAAATTCAGAATTGAGTACTCCTAGTGTTGGCTCATTTTGTGCCTTCCAAGTAACTTGAATCTCCCTTCAAACACCTGGTCTTGCTTTACCTTCACCGGGGGTCGTCTGCCTCTCTGGATTGTATTTCCTGCTCTACACGGGTGGAGAGGAGCTTCTTCTTTCCTTTTTGGGTGAAGAAGCTCGGGGTGGTGAGGCCTCAGGCCGGCTTCAGGGGTTCAGCAGGGGGCACATCTGTACCTTGAGGACTTGGTCAATCGGTTTGTCTGCGTCTTGTCCTTTTCCTCTTAGTGCCAGTTCATCAGAAAAAGAGGGAAAACGCCCTGTTTGACATCCACAGATCTCCTGCCAGAAGGAGCCATATCAGGTGAGCTTTTCTGTGTCTAGGCTTCCCCATTGGTTTGGGTTTGCAGAGAAGAGAGCGCTGGGCAGAGCTTGGTGGCTCCATCCTGGCCGGCTTGTGGTTTAGGCTGCCTGTCTTCTCCCGTGCCTGGGCACGTGACCGTCGCTTCTCTCCTGCTCTCTCTGGCGTGACTCGGGGGCAAGCTGGCCTTGGAGGCCCCTTCAGTGCCCCCTGATGTGAGGCCCTCGCGGAAGAGCTTGCTGGTCTGTTGGTCTGTCTGGGGTGGGCATTCTTTCCTGATCTCTGAACCGCAGTGACATTCTCCCCCTGGGGAACTGTGACAATTGTGGGGTGGCTGCTTGGGGCACTTAGGGCAGAGTGTGCCCGGTGTGGACCCAGCGTTGCTGGGCTGTCCTCGGATGGTGTCCATCAAGGAGGAGGTTGTGATCCTGCTCAGCTCCCTCTCTGTAAGGGATTTTGCCCCCCTGATTTGTGCTCCTGGCTGGGCGTAGGTATCCTCTCCAGTGTCCTCGGTGGTGCCACCATCTGACATATTCTGGAGGCTTGGCTTCCCAGCGATGGGGACGTTCCGGCCCTTTCTGGGCAGTGGCTTGAGCCCAAATCTCTCTCTGCCTTTTGTACTCTGTTTTCCCCTCTGGGGAAGGAGTGAATCCAGCCCGTCTTCTTTGGGGCACCTGAAGGCAGCTGCCAAGGGAGGCCTTCCCAAGTTCCCCGGTGTGCCAGCTGCCTTTGTGAGGAGTAGCTTTTCACCTTCATTGATTCAGTTCCGCGCCCTCTGTGCCCTCAGGACTGAAGGGTGGGGCCACGAACTTCCAGGCAACCACTTACAGAGGACACTGGGCTCTGAGCGTCTTGTTTCTCAGCTGGCCGCACTCCTCTGGACCTTCTGACTTCTCTCCTTATTAGATTGTAAGCTCCCTGAGGGCAGGAACCAGCCCCAGTGTTTAGCGTAATGCCTGGCACACAGTAGGTGCTTCCTAAGTGTGACTATTTATTGAACAAGCATGTATTAAGTGCTTAGTGTTTGCCAGGCACTGTGCTGGTTGCTGGGGGTACAAAGAGAAAAAGGGAAATGAGCCCTGTCCTCTCAGAGCTTGAACTCTGCCATCTGAAGACAGCGTGCATGCAGAGGAGAGGCTCCGCACAGGGGACGGCTTGTCTGGCTGTGCTGCCCTGGCTCCCCCCTGCCCACATCGGTTTCTGCAGGGACGGGGGCTTGTGGGCTGTGTGGGGATCGCGCTCAGGTCCCAGAAAGCTCCCAAGCCCAGTTCTTGAGAAGCGTGGATTCCGGGGCATCTCCTGACGTCTGGCCCTTGACAAAGCCTCTTGGCTTTGGTTGGAAACGTTGCTTCACAAATGATGACCGTGAGAAGCGTGTGCGAGAGGGCCCCTCCCCGAAACGCCGTGGAGGTCTGCAGCGGTGGAGAGCTGAGCACAGAGGATTTTCTGAAAAGAAGGAAAAGGAAAAACCTGCCGACTCAGTCTGTGTCATACGTCATCTTCTAGACCCTGGTACTGCCGTCTCTGCTGTCCATGCCTCCCTCTGCGTCTCTGGGGTGGATTCCTTCACTGGCCTTGGGCTGGCACTGTCCCAGATAAATCAGCCTCGGGCCACGTAGGAACCCCTGGAGCAAGCCGGGCCTAATTGCGGTGCGGGGGCAGCGCCACGGGCTCCTGTGCTTGCCGCTCCGTGGGCACCAGCATTGTGGGTCCCTCTTGCGGTTCAGCATCGCGCCCTGTCTGGGCGGATGCCTACTCATCGTGAAGGGGGTTGGGTGCCGCCTGTATTGTTGGCGTCCCCAGGAAAGGGTGTTTCTTGGGATTCTCTTGCCCCTTCCCCACCTTGCCTATCTTGACTCTTTGGTGAGCCAGAGAATAAAGCTTGAGAAACCGTACCAACGGTGCTGTGATGGAGGGCCGCCACTGATGGGTGTTTTGTCCCCTCCCAGGCTCCAGCCTTCTCCCGCCCCTCGACCTTCTTCCCTGGAGCCCCCTGCTGCCCTCCCCCTGGCCCCCTCAGCTCTGCAGCCTGGCTCTCCCGCAGTCTGGTGGCCTCTTCTCCATCCTCACCATCCTCGGCCTCTCTGCAGCAGTGGACGCTGTCATTGGTCCCTCTCTGAATGCTCTGCCTCCGTCTCTAAGGCCGGATCTCCCTCCAGCTGGGGACACTCCAGCCCTGACCTCTGTCCCCTTCAGACCTCCTCCTGAACGCCCCTGAGCCTTGGTGTCCAGGGTCGGCCCCTGTGGACACTGCCACAGAGGGCACTGTCCTGTGGGGTGTCATGAGCCATGTCAGTCTGCTTCTGTGATCTCCTTTCCGTGGGACATGCTGTGGCTGCGGAGGTTTGTGCTCGCAGCTCTGACCTGCTTTTGCTCTCTTGAACAGGAGAAAGAAGCATGCCATCCACAGCAGTGACACAACGTCCTCTGATGAGGAGCGCTTCGAGAGAAGGAAGTCGAAGAGCATGGCCAGGGCCAGGAGCAGGTGGGGCAGCTGTGCGCGGGGTCAGGAGTGGGCCGTTCACAGTCATGCCTCATGGCTGATGGGTGGCCTTTGTGCCACGTGGCTCATTTCCTCAGCAGGGAGGGGAGGGGGAAGCCGTGAATGGTGGCCAGAGTTGCCGTCACACTCTAGTTTTCGGGGCTTCAGGCGAACGAGGGCACTCAGTCATGTCGAGCTCAAGAAAGGCTCTGGCCTCAGCTGGTCACATCTCTCTGTTCTCTGCCTCCCACCAACACCCGCCTGCTGGCTTTCCATCTGATGAAGGAATTGACTGGGAACCGGGAACTCCCCAGTTCCCCAGGGGAGTGTCTGATGGTGAGACCCCAGGAGCGGCAAGCTCGCGGGGTCCTGCTTGGGCCTCAGGCTCTGGGAGCCAGAAGGCTGACGGGTGGAATCTGCACAGGCCTTGCACCGTTCTGCGGAAGGGTCGAGGTGGCCAGGGAGGTCATACAGTGCAGACTGTATGCCCCATTCTGAAGGGGGGCAGGATTGCAGGGCTAGGAGTTGGGGCAGGTCCCTGGGCAAGGCACTGAGTCTGGGTGAGCCTCAGTCTCCTCATCTGTGAGGGGGGGGTGCCACCAGCCCCGACCGCCCAGGTTATTCTGCGACTCATCTGTGCTCCTAGTGCAGGTAAAGTGCCTTGTGAACCTTAGGGCACTCAGCGTGGTAGTTCACGCTGTGACTGTCGGGTTATGTGTCTGTGTCCGTAGCTTTATGCACACTGAGAGCATCGGCTCTCAGGGGTTTCTCTTGGCCTTCATTTGCCCCAGGAGACAGTCTGGGGGAAAAAACAGGTTGGTACTCACTGTTCTGGGGATGTTCCTTTTGACCTGCTCCGCTGAGCAGATTTTAGGCCAACACAGGCTTGATAGACTGTTAAGACAGTAGTAGGAGGCTGGAGGTGGCCTTCACAAAGATGTCTGTGGCCGAGTCTGGCTTAGTTAGCTTCTGGCTGAGAGAGAATTTTATAGAGAAATCAGCCTTGAAAAGCCTTGCCTCAGTTTGTTCTAGAGCACGTCTCGCAATCCTGGCCTTTGGGGCTGACCATGATGTGCCTGCCTCAGTGTTCTGGGGAGTAGAGCGCCAGAGAAAAGGAGACAACTGGCCAGAGTTTCCTCCATTGACAGGGGAACTTGGGGGCTTCTGGGAGCAGGGACAGCTGGGCAGGCGGTAGGACTGGAGCGAGCCTTGCTCAGCAGAGGTTTCTTTTTAAGAAAGACAGAAATCTCTGAGATTGTCCATCCAGTGTCCTTCTGTGAGTGCCTGATGATCGGCCATCACCCCCGCAGGGTGTTAAGAACCACATTTGTGGAGTTCAGTCCAGGTTGTCTTTTTTGGCTCATTCTGGGCTCGCTTCCCATTTCATGGCTGGACACGTGGCACAGGACAAGCGTTCTGGCTCTTCACTTGCCGGCCCCAGCTTCCACGGATGAGGCGCACTCTTCATTTTAGTTGTTGGGAGAAAATGTGGGGGGTTGCTCCCTCAGCTTGGTTAGAAAATGACCCGACTCTTCAGGTGTCTTTCTAGGGTCACTTTTTCAAATGAGAGCCCAGTGCTCCTGGACCTGATGTTGAACCTCTTAGTCCTGGGTTTAAAAGAGCCCAGAGGGTGGTGGGGGTCTTCCCTGCTGTGGCTTACCGGGCCTCTTCCTGTCCCGCAGGTGTTTGCCAATGAACTTTAGAGCAGAAGATTTAGCCAGTGGGATTCTTCGAGAACGCGTCAAAGTTGGTGCCAGCTTGGCAGATGTTGACCCAATGATACTTGACAAATCGGTAGGTGCCTCATCTCTGACCATAGGGCAGGTCCTGTAGTTTGCGTCCCTCTTCAGTGAAGTCACGGTGCCTCCCCTGAGGATCCCGTCGGCCAATCCCAAGCCATCGTGGTGCAGGACCTGTCAGTAAAGGGACTCCAGGACTTCTCTTTGGCCTCTCCTTTGTGGTAAGGGCAGAAGGCAGGAGCTTTAGGAGTCCCAAGTGAGACCATGGAGGATGATGTGCGTGGAAGGGGGAGCCTGGTGGCTTGTGGGAAGGATGATAGCTGGCTGGTTAATCCTGTGAGCTGGCATTTCAGTGGGTCCTTGAGGGGTGTGGAGGGCTTCACATGTGTGTCTGTCACCTTGGAGGTGGGATAGGAAGGGCCAGGCCACCTCATGAAAACTCACCAAGGGAGACTTTCCAGGGCCAAGCTTGGAGGAGCAGGCAGAAGGCCTTTGGAGTGTACACAGGGAATGAGCTAGGTGGGTAGGGAGAAGGGCAGGAGTCCAGCTGCACAGAATTTTAAATGCCACGTGGAGGAAGTGTGTTCATGAGGTGACTGGGAGTCACTGCGCAGTTTTGAATATGGGTGAGACTCATCATCACACTTGTGTCTTAGGAAAAAAATTGTTTGGCAGTTTATTAGGGCATTTAATAGACACAAGAATTTATTCGACATTTCCTTGGTGCTAGATCGTGGGCTGAGCACCAAGGATATAGAGAAGGGCAAATGACGGTCTGTGCCCTCAGCACTCTCACCGTCTGATGGGGGATGCAGCACGCAAACCACTGTGGACAAATGAGGTGTCTGCCAGATGGACTGGAGATTGCCCGCAAAGCAAAGGCGCTGAAGGGAGGAAGCCAGCTGAGGCAGGGGACGGAGCATCTTGGATGAGGAATCGCAAGGGCCCTGTGGTCCTGGGACCACAGAATCTGTGGGGAAGAGGAAAGTGAATAGCCTGTAAAAACAAAGAGAGGATTTGGGGAAGTCACGGGGACAGGGAAGTGTCATGGTCAGCTTGGTGGGTCAGTGGAGGATGGTTCGTTGTGGGGAGAGGTGGAAGCAGGCAGACTTCCCCAGCAGCGGCTGCCACGGTCCAGGCAGGAGGGGAGGAGGGCTGTATTGGAGAGACATTACAGATATCTACTGGCCCTGGCAACAGATCGTATGTGGGAGGTGAGAGAGGTAGTAGGGAGTCGAGCAGACAAAGACTGAGCCAGGTAGGAAGGCGAGGAAGACAGGAAGGGCTTGGAACCCCAAATAGAGAGTTTTATATTTGATTCTGAAGGCAGGAGGGAGCTGCCAGAGCGTGAAGAAAAGAGAGGCGATGTGGTCAGACTTTTATCTCCCCAAAATTATTTATTGGGAGTTTTAGATTTCCCTACTCCCACTCCCCCACTGCTGCATTGGTTTTGTTGCTACAAAACTTTTAAATTCTGTGCAATCAGGAATATCCATTTTCCTTCCTATCACTTTTCCCTTCTCCATAGATCTTGTAGGTGTTTTTTCCCATGTTCCCCTCATTTGCTTATGATATCACCCTTTATGTCTAAGTCATGTACCCATTTTGAGCTTGTCTTAGTGTGTGGCACGAGAGGGCCTACTTTCTGCTGGACTACTTCCAGTTTTCCAAGCAGTTTTTGTCATTTAGTGAGCTCTTGCCACAATAGCCGAGGTCTTTGGATTTATCAAACATGAAGTTACTGTGCTCATTTCCTTCTGTATATTGTCTGCTCCATGGATCAGTTGCTCTATTTCTTATCCAGTACCAATTTGTTTTGATGATTACCGCTTTGTAATATAATTTGAGATCTGGTATTGGTAGTCCCTCTTCCTTTACATTTTTTTATTCATTGATCACCTTGATGTTCTTGACCTTTTATTCCTCCATGTAAATTTTATTATTTTTTTCTAGCTCTAAAAAGTAATTGTTTTGGTAGCTTGATATGGCACTGAATAAGCAAATTAATTTATGTAGTATTGTCATTTTTATTATGTTGAGTTAGCCCACCTATGAGCAACTAATATTTCTCCAGTTATTTTGATTTGTCTTTATTTGTGTGAAGAGTGTTTTGTAATTGTGTTTGTGCATCACACTGTTCTTGTGGGTGTCTTAGCAGGTGGACTTCTAAGCTTTGTGTGTTGCTGACGTTATTTATTTTTTTAATTTTCTTGATTTATTTTGATTTATCAGCAATCACTTCCATATGGTTTTGAGTTGAAAATCTTTCTACCCTTTCCCCCCCCCCCGATGGCACACAATCTGATATAGGCTTTACATTTACATTCCTATTAAACATATTTTCACATTAGTGAAGTTGTAAGTAAAAATTAAAACCAATAGGAAGAACCATCAAAAAGACGAAACAAAACTCAACAGAAGGGAAAAATAAGTGATAGCGATTCAACTTCCATAGTTCTTTCTTTGTATGTGGACAGCATTTTCCATCCCGAGGCCTCTGGAGATGTCTTAGATCCTTGTAATGCTGAGAAGGGTTCAGTTTAACAATCTTAGTCATCCCATAACGTGGCTGTTATTGTGTACAAAGTCCTCTTGGTTCTGCTCACTTCACTCACCACGAGACCATATAAGTCTTTTCAGGTTTTTCTGAAGTCAGCCTTTTCATCATACAATAGTATTCCATTACATTCATATACCACAACTTGTTCAGCCATTCCGCAATTGATGGGCATCCTCTCAATTTCCAATTCTTTGCCACCACAAAAAGAGGGTGCTATGAATATTTTTGTACATGTGGGTCCTTTTCCCATTTCTATGATCTCTTTGGGATACAGCCCTAGAAGTGCTATTGCTGGATCAAAGGGTATGCACATTTTTGTAGCCCTTTGGGCATAGTTCCAAATTGTTCTCCAAAATGGTTGGATCATTTCACGACTCCACCAGCAATGTATTAGTTTTCCAGTTTTCCCACATCTTCTCCAGCATTTATCATTTTCCTGTTTTGTCATGTTGGCCAATCTGATAGGTGTGATGTGGTACCTCAGAGTTGTTTTGATTTGCATTTCTCTAATCAATATCGATGTAGAGCATTTTTTCATATGACTATAGATGGCTTTAATTTCTTCATCTGAGAACTGTCTGTTCATATCCTTTGACCATTTATCAATTGGGGAATGGCTTGTATTCTTATAAATTTGTCTTAATTCTCTATATATTTTAGAAGCGAGGCCTTTATCAGAGACACTAGTTGTGAAAATTCTTTCCCAATTTTCTACCTTCCTTCTAATCTTAGTTGCATTGGCTTTGTTTGTGCAAAAACTTTTCAATTTAATGTAATCAGAATTATCCATTTTGTTTTTCATAATGTTCTCTATCTTTCCTGTTTGGTCATGAATTCTTCTGTTCTCCATAGATCTGATAGGTAAACTATTCCTTGTTCTCCCAGTTTACTTATGGTATCAGCCTTTATGTCTAAGTCATGAACCCATTTTGACTTCATTTTGGTATATGGTGTGAGATTTGGGTCTATGCCTAGTTTCTGCCATACTCTTTTCCAGTTTTCCAAGCAGTTTTTTTCAAAGAGTGGGTTCTTATCCCAGAAGCTGGGGTCTTTGGGTTTATCAAATAATAGCTCACCATAGTCATTGACTACTGTGTCTTGCATATTTAACCTATCCACTGATCCACCTCCCTATTTGTTAGCCAGTACCTAGCAGTTTTGATGGTTGCTGCTTTATAATACCATTTAAGATCTGGAATTACTAGGCCACCTTTCCCTGCATTTCATTTCATTAGTTCCTTTGATATTCTGGACCTTTTGTTTTTCCAAATGAATCTTGTTATTATTTTTTCTAGCTCTATAAAATAATTTTTTGGTAGTTTGATTGGTATGGCACTGAATAAGTAAATTAACTTAGGTAGAACTGTCATTTTTATTATATTAGCTTGGCCTACCCATGACCAACTGATGTTTTTCCAATTATTTAGATCTGATTTTATTTGTGTGAAAAGTGTTTTGTAATTGTCCGACAGTTATTCTAAATGGAATTTCTCTTTCAATCTCTTCTGGTTTTTGTTTTTGTTTTTGTATCAATATGCAGAACAGTTGATGATTTGGATGGGTTTATATTATATCCTGCAACTGTGCTAATCTTGTTGATTGTTTTGCGTGGTTTCTTAGTTGACTGTCCAGGAGATCTGTAAATAAACCATTGTATCATCTGCAAAAAGTGATGGCTTGGTTTCCACATCACCATGCTTATTCCCTCAGTTATCTTTTCTTGTCTAGTTGCTATTTCTAGTATTTCTTTTTCCTTCCTCCTTCCTTCCTTCCTTCCTTCCTGTGAGGCAGTGGGATGAAGTGACTTGACCAGAGTCACACAGCTAGTAAATGTCAAGTGTCTGAGGCTGAATTTGAACTCAGGTCCTCCTGACTCCAGAGCTGGCACTCTATCTACTGCAACACCTAGCTGCCCCATATTGCTAGTACTTCTAGTTCAGTGTGGGATGATAATAGTGATAATAGACATTCTTGTTTCACTCATGACCTTATTGGAAAGGCTTCTAGTTTATGCCGTTACAGATAATCATTACTCCTGGTTTTAGATAGATAACTACTTATCATTTTAAAGAAAGCTCCATTTACTCCTATTCTTTCTAGTGTTTTCAGTAGCAATGGATGTTCTATTTTGTCAGAAGCTTTTTCTTTTTTTCTTTCTTTCTTTTTTTTTTTTTTAATTTTAGGCAGTTGGGGTTAAGTAACTTGCCCAGGGTCACACAGCTAGTTAAGTGTCTAGTGTTTTGGTCTGAAGCTGGATTTAAACTCAGGTCCTCCTGACTTCAGGGCCGGTGCTCTATCCACTGTGCCACCTAGCTGCCCCCAGAAGCTTTTTCTGAATTTGTTGATACAACCCTGTGATTTTTGTTGTTTTTGTAATAGGGTCCATCATGCTGATAGTTTTCCTAATAATTGAAGTAGCCCTGCATTCCTTATATAAATCCAGCGTGAGCATAGTGTGTGATCTTTGCAATAAGTTGCTTGTAATCTCCTTTCTA